ATGATAATTTTTGTCAAAGTGGTCAATCGATATCTGGACCAAGATTTAGAATGAGAGCCTGGGTGACTTTTATTGGATATTCCTCGTTTCCTCAGTATCTGATATGCTTAATAATTACCCTGGCCTTCCCCACTAAGATGGGATGTGACACAAAGTCGGGTTTCATGTGGGGAACCCGAGCGCATACACCCGGGCCAAGAACAAAAATTCCCCGAGCCCCCCGATCCTTCTCTCTAGTTCAGTGAGTGCAGCCTCGGGTATCTCTTCTCCAGCGCATAGCACCTCACAGCGGGATTTTCCTCAGTTGCGCCTCTGTCCTCCGACGGAACCACAACCGAGTCGCACTCCGCCCGAAAACAGAGACGTCACTGAGAGATGATAAAAATTACCATGATCCTAAAAAAAAAAAAATCTCTAAGATTTGAGAATGTCAAACACACGTAGGACAATTAGTGTTTTAGTGAAAATTAGTGTTCAAAATTTTGTTTAGCTCACCTTTTAATCAGTTTACATTTTCTTCACCAGACTCGTCTTCCCCCCATAGATTAGGGGGGGAGAACAGTTTTTCATTTTCCGTAAAACTTCGTCATTGGTCATATATTCAATCTAAGGTATTCTTAGCAATTTTCTGTAGAAGGATTTCTGTTGTCTCACGCCTCTTCTCCCTCAGGGTCGAGATTATTCAGTATTTCCTGATATTACGTAACAGTTCAGTACTCATATCTTTGTTACTAACTAAATTTTCCTATTTCTTAATACTTTGCTTAACTTTTGGAAATCATCTACTGCTAACTTCAGATTTCAGTGACGCACTTCCGGTCCTTCGCCGTATAAAAAGGATTGAATAAGTTCGGTGAGAAGACACATCCACAATTTTGTATATTGACTGAATTCATTTTCTATCCGTATGCAGGGTTTTTGCTGTTTTCTGGATTATTCTAATATCCTTTCCAAATAATGTCAAAGTTATCTATTCACCGAAAGAGCTAATATCTATTCACCGAAAGAGCTAATATCTATTCACCGAAAGAGCTAATATCTATTCACCGAAAGAGCTAATATCTATTCACCGAAAGAGCTAATATCTATTCACCGAAAGAGCTAATATCTATTCACTTGCAAGGATTAAAATGTTTCAAATGCGAGTTGACTAGATTGGTCTACAACTTGGAGACCAACGAATAGAAACCAAAATAGATTACGTGGAATGCTGACGTCATAACTTTTGTGTTTGATACTGCAATTAGAGAAACGTCAATATACTCGAGGTTTGTAGTTGAACATCGAATCATTTCACCGAATGTTACCTCGGGCGTATTGTAATTATCTGTCACAATCTTGTTTCTATTTTGACATCGTTCAACCTCCCCTGAGTAGGGAGATGAAACTCGACCAAATTTTAAGGTTTATGACCGCAGGTATTTCTTCTATTCTTCAGAATTACTTGATTATATCACCCGACCAAAACAATGGCACCGATACTGTTTGACACTGGAAGTTATGAGTAGAATACCATGTAAGTTTTATATTAAAAGAAATGTGGCGAACGCGTGTCAGTACAGATGCAGAAAAGGTTCAGAATCGTATGCAGACATGTTTGTCAAAACCAGACCGATCTAAGTTTTCCCCGTTAGCATGTTCAGATACGGGCCACTCTGCAATTTGTCTAAATCAATTGCCCCCTGTCAATAAAAGAGATGGGAAAACCACGAGCGGATGCGAAACACTTCTTGACTCGAACCACTTCCCGAAATCCAGTCCAACAAGGTTTTCTTTATTCGTACTGGGAATTGTTAGCATTTCTTAGTATATACTATTTTCTTTTTTTAGTTGAAATTTTGAATTATATTCAGGATGCTCGATTTTGTGAAAAATTAATGTTTAAATATTTGCTTAATTTTTTATACTTTCTTATAATAAATAGAATTGGTAGAAATCTTGAATACAATATAAAATAACTTTTCTTCAGTTTAGTCTTATTTGTTTCATTTAAGTTGTTTGTTTACATTATTTTAGCACACTTGATTTTTTAAATTAAGACCCAAAAAGTGATCATTTTTTTAAAATTAGTGTTCAAAATTTTGTTCAGCTCACCTTTAAGGCCAATTACGAATTTTAGAAGCAAATATGTGTCCAATTTTACAACCATTACTATCGTTAACTGCAAAATATCTTTGCATTTTAGTAGTTATTGGTCAGACTTCGTGATGTCATTTGCGGCTGCGTGCCAAGTGTGGCACACGTGCTGTTGGTTGCCGACTCCTAGGATGTAACCATTTTTTTAATTACTTGTTATATATTTAAGCAACGGTTAGTTGATTCACTTAATATTACAATTGGTTCCCAAAAACAAAAATTATTCATGACACATGCTATTTTATTTATTCATAACACACTGAATCGATATATTATTCGACCAACAGAGTAGATAACGCCATATTAGAAATAATTTTATACTCCCCAAATGTCTACGGTTACCTCACGTTAAACCAACGGTTCCCGTAAGATCACCGAAGTTAGCAATTCGTGAATTTGTTTGGCTAAGTCATGAAAAAAACACTATATAAAATTCACTAATTTTTATCCATAATGTTGAATGTGACAAAATTCTTCAACTTTTTAACAAGAAAAATCTCAAGTTGATGTTAAAAATTGCCACAAAACATTGTTGATTTATTTAAGATGGAATGATACATTATGACATTTAAGATGGAATGATACATTATGACATTTAAGATGGAATGATACATTATGACATTTAAGATGGAATGATACATTATGACATGTCTCCAATTTGTTTTTAGATACATTGGATTTCTTTTCAGTTTTTCTAGTTGAATTGTTCGCCAATGTTGCATATGATCCATTATTGTACATAATTAGGTTAGAATAAAATTTGTATTTTATATGAATACAATCTTATGAAAATTGAGAAGTAACAGTTTCTCGAATTATAGATTTGATTCGGGGACCCTTGCACTGTCCCTTATTCCTGTTACCCTCCACCATTACGGACAGGGTTAGGTCCGAAAATGGAGTTTTTATCCATAATGTTAAATGTGTTAAAATTTTTAACAAGAAAAATCTCAAGTCGATGTTTATTGTTGATTTATTTAAGATGGAATGATCTATTATGACATTTAGATACATTGGATTTATTTTCAATTTTACTAGTTGAATTGTTCATCTATACTGCATATGATCCACTATTGTACATTGTACATAATTAGGTTAATTTAAAATTCGTATTTTATATGAATAATATAAACGAATAATATAAATAATACCTGATAGGAATTGATCTGTAGTAGAGTTTGTATCATAGATTCAGGATTGGGAGGGAGCAGCACGAGAATGGCTGAGTTATGAAGCTATACTTGTGTGTTAACTTTGATTATTTTATTTTTGTAGCCATTTTAAAGAATGCTCTGGAATAAGGTTAATGAAAAAAAAAGTTCCAATTTGACAAAATACGTATCATTATATTAATTCTGACAGTAACTGCTAAAAAGAATTTTTATATAGCTATATAAAATACTTCCTAAACCTACAAAGATATTTCCTAAATATAGGATCGATTTAAAGTCTATTTTTTTATTCTATTTTATTTTATTTTATTTATTTTTTTTTTTTTTTGATGACCGAAGCATAAATCTCCGTAATATGATTTATCTAGAATTCAAGAGATCATTTTTTCCAATTTTTTCCTACCCTCATTTTCTATCGATAGATATTTTTTCTACCCTCGGCTTTTTGCACATATATACGTGTGTGTGGGGGGGGGGAGGTACATCTTGTTGCTTCGTTCCAAAGTTCAAATCCCTTATTCGATTGAACTTTATCGTTTTTTACAATCTGACGTGGCCCAACCATTAATTTCTCGTTGCTTGATTGGTTACTGCAAGAACTCATTTTGACATCACTCGTATTAAGATGTAGGGTGGGGATGATGTTATCTTTTGAGAGTAGGCATTGTGAGGGAACAGGGTCCAATAATCGGACAAGGTCTCTGGGTTCAATGTGCATCCTTCCATGACCCAAACACAGGCTGACCCACAGGTTGAATACTGTCAATAATTCTTCGTAAATTCTATGTTTTCAGTATCGTTTGATCTAGCTACGATTCGTTTCTAAATCTCCGCTAATATACACATGTATATCTTTCGATTTTCCTTTCATTCAAATACAGTATCATTTGTTCTATACCTACATATCCCACATTCTTAGTGTGTATATGTAATGCTTCTATAAAATTCTATCTATCTATCTATCTATCTATCTATCTATCTATCTCTATCTATCTCTTTCTAGCTCTCGCTGTGTCTCTCTACCTCTATCTCCCTCTATCTGTCTCTGTCCTTCTATCTCTCTGACTCCCACGTGTAAGAAATAGATAAAATGTTTTGTTTCTTGTATTTTTTTTAATCAAATCACCCCAAGCAAGGCAATAAAGCCACCAACACGCAAGGGACGACTGGGAGTGAAAGAGAAAAAGACTTTAGAAGTAACTGGAAATCGAATTCTAAACAGGAAACAAGGGATATAAACTTCTATTTAAAAGATCGAGGACTAGCATGAACCGGACAATAGGCGAAACTATCTATCTTATATTTAGATATTTATATAGGTGGATATATATATATATGTATACATAGATTTGCTGAATAAGGAGAAATTTTCTATATTCAGGACGTGGCCAGTCATGGCTCTCCGTAACTTCCTGTCCTTTGTAGCTCTTAGTAAAGTTTACAGTGTGTTATGAACCACTTTCCTCTGTCCCTCTCACCTTCAGTATGTCCCGTGGGTGTCATATTTTCCAGGTCCTCTTTCTGCATTATGTATCCAAGGAATTTCAGCTCTCTTTCTAACGTTGAATGTGTCTTTTTTGTTTCCATTTTCTCTAAAACTTCGTCGTTACTTACGTACTCAGCCCATGGTATTCCCAGCATCCTCCTGTAGAACATTTCTATTGCTCCAGGTCTCTTCATGCTAACGACAACATCAAGTTGAAACACCGGTTCCCGTATGAACACCGAAGTTAAGCAACGCCAAATCTGGTCAGTAACTAGATGGGTGACCGCTTGGGAATACCAAGTGGTGTAAATGGACAATTCACATCAGCTTCTCATTGCGCGCAAATACCATTGGGAAAGGTATGAAATCAACTTCTACAGCTACAAAAAATATCTAAAAATACTTAATAACCTGCAAAAGGTAGATAAACTGTAGAAAATTAATCCATCCGTTTTGATAAGATTTGCCCAGCATTCACTGCCATATAGGAGGACCGATATTACGTAAAACTTCAGTAAATTATTCTTTGTTTCTAGCTTAATTAGAAATAGAAAATCGAACAGTTTAGAATTAACATCGGCAATATTTTTATCAGAAAACTCGTCTCCAAATATGATACAGAATAAACAAATATACGTGTGTGTGTGTGTGTGTGTGTGTGTGTGTGTGTGTGTGTGTGTGTGTGTGTGTGTATTCGAGCTTTGCTTAACCGGAAGATGTCTATGGCTAAACCGTCATAGCACGCCAGACTTAATGATGGTTCCGTATAGGGTAGGGGTTCGATTCCTTTCGCAGGACGCAATATTATATATATATATATATATATATATACAGTTAAAGTGAGAACGAATAGAGTACGATTCCAACGTTCTTAACATTTAATTTAAAAGAGGGCTCAATATAAAGTAGAATAATATTCTTCATTTTATGATATAACATTGAAAAACATGTCAAAATCGCTACACAATTGCAGTTGTTTCGATGCGTCTCAACGCATCTCATCAGGCGATTGTAAATTAATGGCGAGTGAACGATTTATTCAGATTTAAAGTAATTTACAATCGAGTAGGAGACAACGGTGGAATAATGGATAGCCACTTCGACTGAGGAATTGGATTGAGCCTTAAGTGCTAATACCCTTGGGAAACGTATGAATCCTCTTCTTCTCTCCCCCTCCAGCTATGGGTAAATAGCAGGACAAACCGAGTTCTATAGCCTTGGATGGCAACTGGTCTACCGCAGAAAGAAATAGCAACCTACTGCGAGAAAAAAACCTGCCGCGTCAGTCATGTATCGAAAGATATATGATTGCCTATGCGTATATCACGCATGGCACATAACTGAATTTACAGTCGCCTGATGGGATGTGTTGACACGCATCGAAACACGACTGCAATTGTGTAGCGATTCTGACATTTTTTTTCGATGTAATATCCTAATATAAAGTGTTTATATATATATATATATATATATATATATATATATATATATATATATCACGGATGTTTGAAATTTATATAAATATTTATACTTAGCCTAAATTTCAGAGTTTAAATTTATTTCATTTTCTTAAACATGTCATTTCAGGATACGTACATCAATCTGTTTAGATATTTGAATACCCTGTCCTTTCAAGTCACAGGTAATTATGGCTTTTCATAAATTCTTTTTCTTATCTGTGAATTGCCATAACTTCCCCGTTGCCTTCTCCGCACATTAAATCCATAGCTGAAATGAGAGCAGATGATTAATACCTTTTTTCCCAACGCCGTTAGTGTGAAAGCGAACGCACCTATCATGCAAGCTAATAACCTGTCTAGGTTCCATATTGGACATACTACCATAACGCATTCATATATTCTAAAAAAGGAAGAACCTCTGGTATATGTGGTATGTTAAGAGCAATTCACCATAAAACACATACTGACAATCTGCAGCAATTTTAATTCAATCCGATTAAAATACTACTAGTCAATAAACTTAAAAGAACATTTCCTAAATACTAAACATTTTATAAATTCCAGTTTCTCAAAAATATACCTTAAAAAATATAATCATAAATAACGTCAGTTTTATTTGTTAAAAAATTGACTGTTTAAATAAGTTTGTCTTTATTTAGGAAAAACATTAAATTTGGGCATTAAATCACCCAATGGGTTGATAAACTGTAAAATATTACAAGTCGATAACCGATACTCTACAAGCACATATATTTTCTTTTAATCTTTTCAACTCTAACAAGGAAATAACGCCACTAAAATGTGAATATGAGAAAAAGAAAACATTATGGCGACGTAGGCAATAAAGCAAAAAGACTTAAGAAGACATGATAACAATGAACATTGCATTTAAATTTTTGAATATCAAACTTGACTGGGAAGCCAGGAGATTTCCCCAAGTGAGAGATACGAGAGAAGAAACTATTGGCATAGGAATTACGGTTACATCTAGCCATTTCAACTGTAAACTGATGAGACCTTGCCGCCAATCTAGTATTTCCCTTTAATTCAAAGTTTATGCACCAAAGAGGAAAGCTCATCAGAACAATTACCATGGAAAAGCATAAAGGAATTATGTTACGACAGTGGCAAAGAAGCTGAAGCCGAGATGTCAAGACAAATAACATCTTGCTGAATCTTCTTTGGATTTTATCAAGAAACTCTAAACATATAGAAGTCCCTGACCAGATGTGACAGCAATATACAATATGTTATAAAGAAATAAAGTGTCGCTGCCGACACTTGAGTTTGAACATAGGTCGCCAGTGAACAAACACAGGCGATCACATTATTGAATTAAGCAGACCATGTGACCATAGAGGAAACGCATATATGTAGGAAGTAGCTGACGTCTAAATGAAGGCATCTGACATCAGTGTTCTTCAGCGGCGTACTATAGTTGTATCTGCAATGACAAAGTCTCTACGAAAACGACCATTACGAAAGTGACAACGAGTATTTGTTGACATCACAAAAATGGCAACAGGTGTTCATTGACATCACAAAACAATACATGGACAAATAGTAGACTTATAAACGTGCAAAATAGTTTGTTGAGAAAGATTATCAAGCACAATACAGTAGCTGACCTAACAATTGATACAAGATAATCATCCCACTTCATATCAGCGGAAAATATTAGCCCGAGGAGGCGCAATGAGTCAGTTTCTTGGAGGTTAGTATCGTCCATACTGATGGAAGCCAAAAAAGATTCTCGTTTTTGAGGTGTTAAAATTAACAAGCCATTTCTTGCCCCTGTTAAGAATAAATTGTAGGTCAATTTTTTTTCGATCAACTGCCAATTTGACCTTGTCGAACCGATCAGGATTAGCATTAAGACAGGAGTAAATAACTGTTCTCTATTTGAGAACTGATGACATCAGGAAGGTCATTGATGAAAATTAGGAATAACTAAGGTCTAACGATAGAGCCCTGAAGGACAAATCCGTTAATGCAAAAAGATCTAAAAGAGTTGTCATTCAAGATAACTTTTATTTTGCGATTTGATAAAGATTAAATCTGAACAAAAATTCGTCGGGAAATACCATAACCCTTCAACTTGAGAAGACCAACATGTCAAACCCTGTCACATATTCATTTGAGATATACAACAGCTTGAGCTTCGCTATTCTTGTCTAAAGCCTTTTTTAGCACTAACCGTTAACAAATCAACATTTGATCTAGAGAAGCGAAAACTATTATTGTTTGTCTGAAACAAGACACGGTGATAAATAGAGCGGCTAGCCAATCCCTGTAGAAGACGCCTGCCAAAAGTTGTTTATACTGAAAATATGCTGAGCAGACCCTACAATTTCTGGGAGAGAGTTCCTAATCAGCCATGGTCAGCAGATTGAACAAGGGAGTGTGTTCAGGCCCTCGGTCACGATGACTTGCGACTTTGTGCGAACACAACTAGTGACGGCTTTCGAACAGTTTCATCAACTCACTTTCATTCACAAGGCTTAGATCAACCATACCAAATATATGCTATGGTTGTCAGGCAGATTCTAAAGCTGCCACATGCTGTGATCTCCTACCCAGACCGATAATGTCAATATATATATATATATATATATATATATATATATATATATATATATATATATATATAATATATATATATAAACTGTTTAAACATAAATATTTATGTAATACCATTCACAAGACTGTTTTCATAGGCATAACATACTGGCATTAAAATACTTTGTATAACCGCTAAACACACATATATATATATATATATATATATATATATATATATATATATATATATATATATATATATATATATTCACATATTCCATCCAACAAGCTACACTTCAGTGCCAGTATCTCCCCAGATCTCTGTGATAGCGATAACCCTATTAATGTCAGAATGAGTGCCATCAACCCAACATAAGCGCCTTTGAAATATGAAATATGTTTCGCAGGTCTTCTTACTAACATAGGTCATCAGAAAGCGAATCTGGCGAGCCGCAATAAATTCGTGCTTTGTTCATATGATTAAACATGCTCGCAAACACTCAGTTGAAATCAATGGTAAGACGTAACTATGAGCCGACATGTTCAAAATGTTGTCCATAGAAATGTAAGCATTTTATTTTCAAAGAAATGTAAGCATTTTATTTTCAAAGAAATTTATTTCGAAAGAATGGATTTATTTTTAATTCGATATGTCTTATTACTGCAAATGTTATGTTAGTGGTTAACTGTGTTTCAAATAAGGGCTCTGTTTTTATTTTAAACTGTATTACATCTGTCAGTCAGAGCACTTGGGAAATCAAAGTAAATGTGCTCTCCGGGGTGGGAGGTTGAAACTGTGTTCACCTTTGTATGAGTGACTACTGTTCTATTCCATTCTATTCTGTCTGTCTGTATATATATATATATATATATATATATATATATATATATATATATATATATATATATATATATATATATATATATATATATATATAATATATATATATATTAAACTAAATACTTCTACCTTACTACCTGGGCTTCAAATGCAAGGTCTCCTCAGGTAAGTAGAAGAATAAACAATCTAATATATTCCACCAATTTTTTGACCACAGGAAAAGCGAATGAATAGTGTAAGGAGGGGAAAGTAGAAAAGTGGGACGGGAAGGGGGAAAGTTTATTCATTGGACTTCATACCCAAAAGATATTCTCTCAAATGCCTGCACTTTGACAAAATCTGTTCTCTCATTCAGTAGCACATCTTTGAGAGGATATGTAGCAATGGCCAACTTCTCTTGGCACAGTTGGCAGCAGTTCCCATGGGAACCCCCTGCCTGGCTTCACCTTTCTTATTATACTCCACTTTACACATGGTTTCTGTGAATATATCCCCAAATACATTCTGCAAGTTTGGTGTCACTTCTGTGACTTTCCAACCCAAAGGAGCTAGCATGGTTATAATACACACACACACACACACACACACACACACACATATATATATATATATATATATATGTGTGTGTGTGTGTGTGTGTGTGTGTGTGTGTGTGTGTGTACTTTAGCAAGTCAAATGTGAAGATTTTATTTTGCAACAAGTATTTAAAAACAAAATTAAAAATGTTAGTTTTTCAAACTTTTTGAATTTAAGACATGCTCATAAATATTCATCCGAGGAACAAAAAGTCAAGGCCATATGGTGGATGCTAAGTGACATAACTTAATGTTGAAATTTTTTTATGCAATTCATACACAAATTAGTATGGGATAAATTTACATATTATGTTATGGATTTAACTGTTTTTTACACACATACACACACACACACAATCGCGTGAGTGTGAGTCTCTAGTTACGACTAGAGCCATCTTTTCATAGGATTTAACGTTATAATCGTTTTTTTTGTTTTGTTTTTTTTTTGTTTTTTTTTGCTTCGTCTAAACGATCTAGCCTCCGAGCACTTTACTGAGTAGGTAAATTTGCCTTTAGGCTGTTTTCTTTCTCTTTTCAGTATTGTCATTTTTATTCGAGTTTGTATCTAGATAAATGTCTTAAGTTTTGGTAAGTAGTCCATCAACGGTTTTTGTTTCAGTTCAGTGTAGCCCGGCGCGCCATACTATTTGGCTACGGACAGACGGTTAGGCTAAGTTAATTTCATGCTTTGAAGCGAAATTTCTTCTGTCATAGATCTCTCGAAGTTTTTTTCCATATCTGCACCTAGTTTGATATGAAAAGCCTTCGGGAGATTCAGAGTTACGCCTAGTTTGATAGACGAGGTCGACTTAACCAATAAAAAATATGAAAATAAAAATAGCCTAGTGCTTTTACTTTCTCCCGTATATTTTATTTTCATGTGAATCTTTAATAAAAGCAAAAAAAAATGTTAATTTTATATATACACGCACGCACGCACACACACACGCACGCACACACACACACGCACGCACACACACACACACACACACACACACACACAGGGTGATTGTAAAGTAAGCATGTCCACTGTTTTCGCGGAAAAACAGCATAGCGTAAATGAAAAATGCCACAAACTTAAAGAAAATAAAGTATTATCGTCAAAATGCTTATGTTATTATTTAGAGAAAAGAAAAAGTATTTTTTAATTATTTTTGAAATTTTTAATATTTTCTAACACGTTCGAAATTTTGGTTAAAGTCGTCTTTGTTTACGTCATCGCGGCGACGTTTAAAATAAAATAGTTTTTTTTTGTTTTTTTACCGTTGAAAACATATTGATTTGGAAATTTTGTAAAATAAAATAATTGTCCAATCTTAATGAAATTTTCAGGACTTATTCACAAATCAATGAAATTATTTTTGAAATATTTTTTTTTAGAAAATTTTGGTAAAAATTATATTTTTTTAAAATATGTTACCCCACATTTACTTAATTTAATGAAATTTCGCCCAAAACCTTTTTGGTTCCTGATTTTTTTTTTTTTTGTTAAAAGTAGGAGTCTTCGAAGATGGTAAATAACCTAATTTTCTTTCACAAATTTGAGCTACTTAGCTGAAAATCTGCTCTGAATTGAAAAATAATGAATCCAATAAAACTATGATATTACCTAATTAGAAAAGCTTTTAATTGCTTTTGTAAATAAGTAATATTAAGGACATTATTGTCTGAAGAAATAATTTTTTTCTGATGAATAATTAATTTTTACAAGAATTTTTTCGTTTTTTAAGAAATTTTAATTATAATAATTTATAATAGTTTTAAATCGTGTAAAGCTCTGTATTAGGAGGGTTCCTCGATATTATGTACTAATTAAGTAGAAAAAAAATTTACGAATCCAAAATTGCTAAGTTTAATAAATTTAGTTGCGCTACTTTTTTTAAAAATAATTTCTTATGTTGTATTTTTTTACTTAATACATTCCTTATTTCCATGTATGATATACAGAAATTGCCATTATTATAACAAGGTCATGTGATCTAAGGGTTTTGTCCCTTTACGTGGCCTTTTCAAAACATTTCGTTTGTTACTACAAGTTGTATTTTCCGTTCAAAAGTTTAAACTTTAAATTTTAAATTATTTTTTCTTTTTTTCATTTACTATTTCACTAAATAATTTTATTTTATGTATTGTATTGTGTGTCATATTCAAATATAATAATTTTTTAAAAAACTCAGACTTAAAAATTATGTCATTTATGGTCATCAGTAGTAGCTGTCATCGGCTCGTCAATCAACCATTATCAATGAGATCGAACAGATGAACGGGACCGCTCGTTAATAATTGGTTGTATATTATATTTTTATGCTATAAGTAACAAAGATTTCTTTGAAATCAGATTACTTTAACTTTAATTTTTTAATTTTACTAAAATAACGTGTCAGAATTTTTTTAAATATTTTAAAAATCGATAAATTTGTGTTTGTTTACAAATTTCTTAAAATTAAGAAAATGGCCGTTTTTAAGAAAATTTAAAAATTTGAAATTAAATTTGACAATCAAATGTATATAGTTTCTATCTGAAATACACCAGAATTGTTTAATTAATAGAAATCGTAAATTTAGTTATTAAACTTTCAATTAAAGCTAAAATGAAATCTTCAAGAATGTTTTTTCATTATAAAAAATTCATTTTAAACTTAGGTATCGAAAATTTATGCCGAAATAGTGGAGGTACTTATTGTAAAGTAACTCCCTATTTTATGTATGCGTATCCAACCAGGAGTCCTTAATTTAACACTCTTTTATTTTCTTCTTTGGGGTTGGTTAAAGAAGCAAGTCTCTTATACTAAACCAAGACTTTGGAACAATTTGAAGGACGAATACAAGAAGTTATGTCTTCCATAGCACAAGAATTCCTGAGGGCGGCCCGAGAAGTTAATAACGAAAGCTGGTGCCCATATCGAAAGATGGCGATCCACGCCCGGTTGGGATGAAGCCAGAGGAATTCGTGCAAATCGATCATCAGAACCGGTTGTAGGGGCGAAATACCAATCGAACCGTCTAGTAGCTAGTTCCCCCCAAAGTTTCCATCAGGATAGCTGGCGTTCGATCGTCGCAATTCCATCCGGTAATGCGAAATATTCGAGGGCCCAGTGGCAAGGGACGGTTCCGTATTCGGAAAAGTCGCCCCGTTCCGAGTTCAAGAGTAGGTCGAGGCCGCAATTGCAGCACCAACTGACTTTTGGCCGACTTCACAAAGCCGAACTTATTAAGGGCGAAAAACCGGTTCGAAAATGGCTCAGGCTATCTGCAGACTGCCCCCAACTCTGCCATCCATACACTGGCAAGATACGACGGTTTAAGGATCATCTCACTCGAAATGCTGATTTCCACATTGAAGGGCATCTGGCTATTGAAGCTATCTGTTGGGGATAATGAGGACGCTATTATAGCGGACAATTCCGCCGCGCAGAGTCTAATGTGAAGGCCTGGTTGAAGACCTCTACAAGAGGTAGGACACCAGGGTCCTAAAGGGGTATGAGCAGGTACCAGCCATCAACAGCTGACTTGATCATGCCACCGCCAACTTGGCTGGCTATGATTTTTAGGAGTCTGTGGTGATCCGTTTAGGCTGTATGGACACCCCCGCCCGGTTATCCCGAGTCGGTAAGGCTGTCGACAAATTTTGCAAATGTGGACGCAATGCTTCCATGGGCCTGCCACACATTACCCTGGCCTGCGGTATCGTCCACGGTCTCCGGACGAAACGGGCACAACAACGTCGGTCTACACGTGGCACACGTGGCATAGACGCAGTTTCGATATCATCATGAAGCCGAAATTCCAGACTGAGCGTGGTGTGAAAAAGCTGAACATCCTAATTGTGTCCAGGAAGCAGATCATAGTGCAGGACATTCAAATGCGTTCTGACTCTGTTGTAAGCTCGAAACATGCAACCTAGAGAAGATCAGAAAGTACAACCAGCCCGACGTGGACGCCGTTCGCGAGAGGTACGGCTACAATTTACTCAATACCCTAACTTATTGTTTCCAAGCTGCATGAACTCCTGCGTTGGAATCATCACTGGCCCATCTCCCGTATGTAGCGGACTTACTGGGTGGCGACCCGCCCTGTGGTGTCACCTTGGATGATGATCGATCTTGAATGATCTTGAAAATGCTTTGGCTGAACCAGGGGTTCTCCGGACTGACACGGAACTAGCTCACCTAACCTTGATAGGTTAAAGAGAATTTCTCCGACCCCGCCCAATTAAATGACATCAAAAAGCATGGTGGCATTTGGTAACAGCCGTCAGGGTGTGCTGGTCCTTGAACGCGTCCAACTACCAGGTGGTAGTGAGTTAGCCAAATACCTTGTCATCTAATTAGTGACGCGCATGAACGGATCTACGAGATTCCCCACTGTCCCTATCTGCTATCTAAATGAAACCACAGCCAAGGAAACGGGCTTGGAACGATCGGCGGGGAAAGAAGACCCTGTTGAGCTCGAATCTAGTCCGACTGTGAGGAGACAGAGGGAGCTGTAGCATAGGCGGGAGACACGCGACAACGACCTGCCGGCGTGGACGTGCGTGTGTCACCCGCCGCCGTGTCGTTCGCCATGAGAGAAAGTACTTCCGAATGCAGGTCTCTTCGGTGCGAGAGACTGGTCATCGTACGGGCGGCAGTCTTTAGCGAACATGTCGTCGCGGTCATCGGACGTGCGTCGTACGCGTAACCGTGGTAAGCGAACAAAGATGGTGCGGTTTATGCGGCTACGCGGGTCTGTCGGCGCCGGCCAGCGGCGTTCACTCGTCGGCGTTGCCGTCGTCGCCTAAAGGGCTCCGCGTCGTCATCGCTCCGTCTCGCCATCATTGTCTTTCCCCGACATCGCGCGTTCGCCTCCTCTTCCTTTCCCCTCCTACCGTATCTTGCGACCCTACTTCACCTACCTCCGTGTCCATCTTCGTGTCCGTTTTGCGCGCGTGCGCGGTCGGCGGTTTCTCGTTCAAGGGTGCTCTTGACCGAGTGTCCGCGGCGGCCGGTACGTTCATTTTGAAAAAAATGTTGTTCAGAGCGGGCTGTTCAAGCTTGCATACGATAAGCATGGAATGATGGAAGAGGGCATCGTCTACGTCTGTCGGTCTACGTCTGTCGGTCTACGTCTACGGCGAGGCAATGATCGAAGGGAGCGGTCGGGGCCACTCGTATTGCGACGTTATAGGTGAAATTCTTGGATCGTCGAAAGACAAACTGCAGCGATGACGTGTGACAAGCACATTTTTCTCGATCAAGAGCGAAAGTCGGAGGTTCGAAGACGATCAGATACCGTCGTAATTCGTAAACGATGCCGACCATGACCCGGCGGATGACAACGCCAAACGCTTGAAAAAGTTGGAATTTGCCTCCAGAAATATTTACGCGTGGCCAGTTGTATGTTGCATGTTCAAGAGTAAGAAATGCTAAGAAAAACATTGTTTACTATGAAGTTCTCTGAAATTAATTTAAAGAAATTCTTAAACCTCAAAGTAGTTTATTTTGTCAAAGTATTTTTCTAAACAAATCAGCTTATTCAAATTTTATCGATTGGTTTGCAAAATTGAGCGAAACGTAGAGTTTGTAAATCTTGACGAAAAATGTTAGCGATAATTCCAACAATACAAAATGCTGTGAGGATTTCAACACACGTAAGCGTGTTGCAAAGAAATTCTAGTAGAGTAAAATGGGAAAAATACGAATGCCGGACATAACAGGTAATTCGATTAAAGCCGAATTTGTACAATAGAAATTGTAGGTCACTTTTCACGTTAGCTAAGAATCCAAACGGTTTCAAATTGTGATTTTATTTCGACATGTCAAAGCCTGGCTCTCCAAATCTTCTTCTTTGAAGCTCTGAGCAGGATTTCTTTTTGCTCTCTCTCTCTCTCTCTCTCTCTCTCTCTCTCTCTCACACTTACTCTTTCTCTCTCTCTCACACACACACACACCTATCCGCGTTCTGTCAACCATTTACAAAAGCTGTTTGCTTCTTTACTCCCTTACCTTGAATATGTCCTGTAACAAATTCGCCTATCTCTCTTGTACTCTAGAGATTTCAATTCTCTCTCTGATTCTAAGTAAATCCTGGGTATGACGATAGACTACATCTGGCAGCAAGGCCTCTGATCGGAAGATTGGAGGTTTTGAGGAGAGTGGAACCACCTCTTAATTGCTATTATTCCCAGGTTCACTCTGGCCCGGTGTGGCAGCACCTGTTAGGGTCCCAGTTACGCGCAAATAGTGAATCCCAATACAAAGCCAAAATATGTATTAAAATACATTTTTTCTAGTAAACATACCATAATTACATTAAATTTCGCTATTATTCCCCATAAAGGGGTTAATATGCCATTAAACTAACAATCAATCAACTGATTCAAAGTAAGTTCTTATGTTTCTATTTTCCTTAAAACTTCGTCATGTAATTCTCGGCATCCTTTTGCAGAACCACATTTCATGTTTCGTCTACATCTGTGAGGAGATTGTCCACTGGCATATAGAAGGAACGATATTGCATAACAGTCCTTTGTTTCTAACAAAACTTTGATATATATATATATATATATATATATATATATATATATATATATATATATATATATAGTGGTTGCCAACTGGTGTCCGAGTACGGTCATTACTACATATCTTTTTGGAAAAAATCTAGTGATGTGCTGAACGAATGTGGCTCTATAACCCAGCAAGAAGGGACCTACATACTCTGGCGCAAACAGACGTCCAACAACGAGTGGCACATTATCATGTAATTTAAAATGTCGCATGAAACCGCCTCTGAAGCCGCATGCCTTACCACAAATATCACATTTCAGTTGGCGGACGTCTACGGCTTTATAGTCAATTGCCACCCTCCATCGGTGCACTTTCACGTGTCTCCTTAGACCAGCCATTGAAAAATATACTCTAACACAATCTGTACACATCATATATATATATATTTATATATATATACACACGCGCACAAACACATTTTGTTCCTCAGTGAACAAAATGTATATTCGTAGTATAAATGTTGTCTATACATTGTAGTGTAATGGCTATCGACCCAGAATGAGAAACCAGTGTTCGAATTCCAGTCTAGTTAGTTACATTCACTTACGCGCAAATATCTTTAGGAAAGGTATAAATCCATTTCTTCTCACCCTATCTATGGGTTAAATAGGATTTGTATATTGATCGGCAGCCTACTGCAGGAAAATCAGACTAGTCAGTCGTGAATCGAAAGAGATATGATAACCCAAGCTTGTATCACGTATAACACGACTGAGTATAAATGAGGTTAGCTCTATTATCATACATCGAGCATTATTTTATTACTATTTGTTTTTAATATAGTAACTAAGAAATTGAGGCACCTTGAACTATCCGAGGGGTGACTAACACCTCTACCAGAAATATAGGCTGACAATTGGACTCGTTTCAAGCTCGTAAGAGCATAAAAATAATCGAGATCGGCGTATAAACACGTCTGTAACGGCTTTTCAAAGGCTATTTTTAGACATGTTTATTCGTCTGTGTCTAAAAAGACGCTTTCGGTAAAAACGTATTAACCTTTCAGATGAGCTGTTCATTATAGTACCTAGGCTTTTGGAATTTAAGCGCAGTAATAGACTGGTGTCAAGATCTGGTGTCAAGATCTCATCAATTTACAGTTAAGCTGGTTAGATGGAACCGTAAATTCTATGCTAACAGTTTTTCTAGCACTTTTCGCTTGTGGAATTCCCTTCCGGCTCCACCCTTTCCAGCCAAGTTTAATATGTAAAAATTTAAACGCAATGTCAATTGCTGTCTACTGTCTTGATTATTCTTTTCTCTTCTCGCTCATTATTAATATTTTTGTTCCTCAGTCTTCCAAACCCTGTAACTCCTTGTCTCTTAGTGGCTTTACTGACTTGCATAGGGTGATACCGATTTAAAAAAATACCTGTTCCGCCATCCATTTACTCAAGCTCAGTAAGTGCTATGCTCTGTTTCCCCCCTCTCTCTCTCTCACCTTCTACCTGTCCCTGTGAGTATCAGATTTTTCAAGCTATCTTTCCTCATTATGTGCCCTAGAAAGAGTCTCTTCCTGATAAGTTTCCTATTTGTTTCTATTTAATCTAAAACTTCGTCGTTGCTCACATGTTCGGTCTATGGTATCATTAACAGATGCTTCTGTAGAACCATATTTCTGTTGCTTCAAGTCACTTGACATTTACGATTGCAGTTTAAAAGTTTAGGAATTCGGAAAGGCAAAGCTTCAGTCATTTTTACGATATTATAGAATGTTAGTTCTAAAGTAAATAAAGATTAAAAATCGGTTCTAATAAAGGAATCGGATTTTGTGAAATGCAGAACGAGGCGAGGGACAGTCAAGAAAATCGTCAGTGGAATTTCTTAATTGGACGTAAAATCTTTTGAATCATTATTTACTCTCTTCCTGGTTACTATTCTGTTGTTTTCTCTCCTTAATATTTCAGTTTTCTAATTCTCACACGTCCAGTAACCCTGTATGTCAGCATGGCTTTACTGCCTTTGCTTGGTGTGAATTTGTTTTTAAAAAATTCAGTTTCCAATATTTGATTATTCTTTCAATAATTGTCAGCGAAAGACATTTTCTTGTAGTTTTAAAAAATATTCATGAAATGTAATAATGAATTAACTGTATCCCAGTACTTGAACAAAGTACACCGTTTTCTTAATTTGAAAGGTTTGTTCTGTCTATAGAATTCAATAAGAAATAAAAATTATTATTAGTAAGCCTATATTTCTCGGACCCTGAAGCTTGAACAGATGTGAGGGCCCGTTCGCAACCAGCAACAATACATTGGAAGAGCCAACTGCCAAAATGTAGGCTATAAATAGATTCTTGTGGGCTCAACGAGACCGTGCAGCTGGGGGTTCGGGCAATGCAAGCTTCCGGGAAAATTGTGAAATTTGAACAATTACAGGGGAATTTTGAGGCTCTATGAAATGTATATTAGCGCATATTCTATAGCCAACATTAGCAACTTCAACCCATTGGCTTATGATTCTATCACTAAAATGGCCTTATTTTAATAACAAATATTTTTAGTTGAAAAATTCACTCATTAATTCATTAACTGCCAAATTTTTTTAATGCGCATTTTTGACTCAGACAGGTGACTTAGGATTTCATTTATTCCTTATGTTTAATTTCAGAAGTTACCATTGTCATTTTTATAGAAACTAGAACTTCAAATACATATGTGTATAAAACATCAAAAAATAATATTGATTAGAAATAATAAAAAAAAATACTTTTTAAAATAGTCATTATTTTTCTACTCGTGAAATGTAAAATTACAACAGAAAGTGTCTTCTTACGGCTAATAATAAAAACTTTAAAGGCTAAGTGTTGTAAAATATATCTCTGCAAATGCAATGTATGTAAGCAATTAAATACAAGGAATAACATTTAGTGAGTTTAATTTGAACAGATCCCCAAATGGGGCTCATGGCAGGTAATGGGTTAAAAAAGTTTACAGATTAGGGACCTTCATTCATTTCATAATAGTTCCGCAACTGGAAATTATTTTTTTCACGTAACAGTTTCCATTTTTAATTAAAATTGGAATGATCCATTTATTTTCATAAGCAGTATGGAAGGCAAGTTAGGATCCTGCCGAAAGGCGCATATTTTTTAATAATCATTTCTCTAATATTTACGTTCATTTGGCATTGGTTATGAAGTTTGGTTAGCCTTCCTATTCCGTGCTGGATCACGACGTATTCGAAGAGTTGGAAAGAACTTTCTCCTCTAACAATTTTATTTTTATTTATTTAATTTAATTTAATTTTTTTTTTTTTTTTGACAGATACAAATCATATTTAACTCCTAGCTTTGGGAAGAAGTAGATTCATATCTTTCCCAAGACTATATACACGTAAGCGAATGTAACGAGCCTCACTGGAATTGGAACTCAGCTCTCCGATTAACAATTCCGAGCCATTGTCCATTACACCATTTGCACATCCAATCTGGTATTACCAAGCGTGAAGATATTTTTTGTCACTTAATTCCCGAGGTATCACGAGTGAAGAACAATCAATGAATCGATGATAATATGTGTATTTGGTTATTAAAAGATGTTCTATAATTGTTTACCAGGACATGAGACTGTCCGTTTATATTTCGACATGAGATTTAAAACGTAAGAAAATCCCGACGATATAAAGAAGTACGTTGTTTCTACGAAGATTATAGCTGCATGCTGTTAGTGCTGCTGCTGTTGTTATTATTATTATTATTATAATCACACAGTTACCCGCCCCTGCTTTTTGTGCTTAAAGGATAAAATACGTAAAAGCTAAGATTAGGAATATGCATTATTCCAATGAATCGAACAATTTATTTCCTTGTTCGACTGCGGCAAACTTATCTATCGTCTGGAACTATAAATACAATAGTTTAGTACAACTGTGTAAGATTTAGTCGAGGGCAGGTGTTGGATTATCAGAATTTCTGTTGGCGTGGTATTTATAAGAATAAGAGGCACGATGTGAACAACTGATTCTGATTCGGTAAAACTTGGTTCTTTTGAACAAGAGATGACCGCGAAAAAGAAAAGAATGAGTACATTTGTCTCTTCTGTTGGTTTTAAATTAGGAAATTGGGTATTTCATTATTTTATTTTATACAGGATATTTAGTTTTTTGGGTTTTTTTTTCACCCCCTTAGTCGCCTTTTCTTTTAGTTTCTCTCTGTCGCCATATGGTCTCTTTTCTTTTTCCCTTTTTGACCCTGACGCCATATGCTCTTCCCTTTCTAGTCTAGTTTGTCCCTATATGCTCTCCTCTATTCTCTAGTTTGTCACTTTCGTTTCTCGTTCGCCCTGCCACCATACGCTCTTTTGTTTCTCTCTCGCTCGCTCGAACGCGCGCCATATTCGTTTTTTTTTCTCTCTACCGCCATATGCTCTTTCGTTTCCCCTCTCTCCCCATGTCGCCATATGATCTCTCTTATCTCTGCCTCTCTCCATCGTCTCTCTCTCTCTCTCTCTCTCTTTCGTCCCTCTCTCGCCTCTCCCTCTCTCTCTCTTGTCTCTCCCTTTCCCTCTCTCTCTGCCCCCATATACTCTCTCGTTTTTTCTTTATCCCTGTCATGTAGTATTTTTATTTTCATTATAATCTTATAATTATTGAAATCCCACTCCGTCGTGCCAAGTGGTGGGTCGGCTTTCGAATTTGAATTTATAGACTGTGATGTCTTTTTGAGAGAAATTCATTTTCTACCTTACTCTTTACTTTGGTTGATCACCTTGGCACATTTCAATTTCGTACAAGTTGTATTTGGTATGTTAATGTAAACCTTCCACAGAAATTCCATGCTTGTCTTACATAAGCTACTGCTTGTCTTTAGGTATGTAATGACAGTTTAGTTACTCGAGCAACAACCTCATATATTGATTCACCTAAAATCGGTATTGTCTAAACCACAGCTTTCATGTAACTAACATGATTAGCAACTCTCTGTTTCCTTGAATGTGGATGTTCGGGTGGTTTAATGGATAATGGCTCAGAATTGTTAATCGGAGTGCCGAGTTCCAATTCCAGTTGGGTTTGTTATATTCACTTACACTCAAATACAAAGGCAAAGGTATGAATTCCCCTCCCCTCAACCATGGGTTAATTAGTAAGACTTGCATTAACTAAATCAGTATCCCGTCCTGGGTATTAGGATAAGCTACAACCGGCAACAAGATCGGCAGGTTTTGAGGAGCGTGGAACCACCTCTTAATTGCTTTTGTTCCCAGGTCTATCCTGATCCTGGGTGGTAGCACCTGTTAGAAGTCCCAGCTATGGGCAAATAGTTAACTCCCAAAATGGGGTCAAAACACTATGACAGTATAATAATAGATTTTTATAGTAAAAATACCAGCAATAAATTTTTGAAAAAAATTACCAGCAATACTCTCGACAAAAACCTTCTTTGCAAAAATATGTTAATGAAACCTGATTTCTTACAAAGAATACATATTCTATTCATACGAACCTATCCTAAATATCTTGTCAGCATTAAATAAACCACTGAGGTTGACATGCCGTAAAACAACCAAACTATTACTAATATCACCAAAAAAAATTCTTACAATCTAGAAACATTTTCGTGCTTTAAATAACCGACAAAGTGTTAAGTCGTAGAAAATGAACGATTCAAAGAAAAGTAAAGGATTCTTGTTTTCTAATCTCTTCGATATATAATTATTCTGAGATGCTTTTACTTGTAGACAAGAAACAGGTGTTTCTTTCAGATCGTAACTACCAATGTTCTACAGAGTTTTTCATTGGCACAATCAACAGATCTGTTTGCGTTTCTCTTAAGTGGCTTCCACAAAATTACTGACAGATAAGATACAAACACTCTATTTATCGGCAAACACTGAGATGCTTTAACATTTATTATCAGCCGCTGATGAAAAAGTCGGGTTTTATTGTTGAATTACCAAAAACAAAACGGATCACTTGTAACAAAGAAATATTTTCAGGAATTAGGATTATTGCTTGGGGGGGGGTCCGTCTAAAGCATTCTTCCAAGAGTTCTAACAGGAGACAGAAAGTACGACACTGCGATCCGAAGACATATGGGGATAGCTAAAGATGCCTTCCAAAAGATAAGCAGTGTATTAAGGGACAGAAAAGTTTCGTTGGAAGCAAAGAAAAGAGCACTGAAATTTTACGTGATATCTGTCCTCCTTGTTTGGCAACAAATGCTGAAAGATGAGGAAGAGACTTGATTCAACAGAGTTGTGGTTCTACAGAAGGATGCTGAGGATACCATGGGCCAAACATGTGAGCAACGAGGTTTTGAAGAAAATGGAAACAGAAAGGAAACTTATACTTAACACCAGAAAGAGGCAGTTGAAATTTCTGGGGCACGTAATGAGGAAGGAGGGCTTGGAAAATCTGATACTCACGGGACAGATAAAATGACAAAGGAAAGCAGCACGTAATTCATTAAGAGCTACAAGCGACAGGAAGATGTGGCGGGCCATGATCACCTAGGTCCTGAAGGGACACGGCACATAAAAGAGGAGAAGACGTTGGCATAGATTAAATATGGCGGGTTCACTTGTTTTTAAAGCAACAGAACAAGAGTTGAAGATTTTATGACTAATCAATGTTAAAAATAACATCTTTTTAAACTAATAAGTAAAATACCTTTGTTAGCAAAATACTATTTGGGCGTGAAATATTATAAACTTTTTTTTGTAATTCTTTGTATTCTATAAAAATACAAATCACATTTGCAAGTTTTGGGGTTTGTTAATGTTCACCAAATATAAAGCCCAAGAGACACTCAAGGTAGAAAGTTATTGTCTGGAGTTATAAAGAATGTTTCATTAAGACGGATCATAGTCAACAGTAAATAAATCAGTGTTATTGGTGAAAATGTATTTATTTCTCTCTTGGATCATGTTTTTTACGTCATGGCAATTATGTGTGAAAAATAATATCGCCCAAATGTCCACCAAAGCTTCGGCGGCAGACCTCCCCTCGATGGTCAAAATTTTTGATGACGTCTCTGCGTAGTTGCTCTTCGATCTCACCAATATGCCTTATTATCTCATCCTTCAGCTGTTGAATTATTGTTGGCTTGTTGGCATAGACCTTACTTTTGAGATGACCCCAAAGGAAGAAATCTAAAGGCGTCAAGTCGAACGATCGTGGTGGCCAATTGACTTCGCTGTTTCGAGAGATGATGTGACCTGGGAACTTCTCATTCAAATTCTGTTTGAACATCCATTTCCGTAATAGGCTTCGATAACTTTAACACGTTGCTTGATTGTTAATCTTTCCATGGTGGAAAATAACAAAGACTTATGTTGTTAAATCTGAAAGAAAAATAAAAAAAATCATTAGATGCTTAAAATTAATTCAGATTAAAATTAATACCATTTATTAGCACTAGAAGGTACAATCGCTGGGAATACACAGCTGAGGTAGCCTTTAGAAGGAACCGGAAATCCAATCCCAAACAGGAAACAAGGAATAAACCTCTGCTTTTGTTCGAAAAATCGAGGAGGAGTATGAACCCGATGATAAGTGAACCTATCAACTCCTATTAAGAAGAGAAAAAAATAAACAAATAGTGGATAACATTTCAGACAGAAACATTAAAAGTATAGAGTTTAAGTAAACTTTAAAAGGAACCAGAGACCGAATCTGAAACAAGAATCAAAGAATAAACTTCTGCTCTTGTTCAAAAGACTGTGGAGGAGTGTGAACCGAACGATAAGCGAACCTATCTACTCCTATTGATAGAGGAGAGAAAAAAATAAAATGATTAATGAATAAGATTTCAGAGTTCAGATGCAGATGTTAGGAGTAAAGAGTTTAAGTAGACTTTAACAGGAACCGGAAACCCAATCTTAAACAGGAAACAATGGACAAGTCTCCGCCCCTGCTCAAAAGATTGAGGAGAAACAAGAACCAGACAATAGGCAAACCAACCTATTCCCGTAAAAGTATTGTTGCCATATCTGAGCTGGAGCTTTACAATCTTTACTTTCCAGCCATGAGTTCAAAATCATTTACGCTGTCTTATGAAGGAATGCTCATTATCCAAAATGCATTTCTCATAGATGTAACGTTGCTAGCCTATCACTATTTTCCATGGCATTCCTGAGTTCCACCATTTCAGTCTTTTACAATTCAGTCACACCTTACTACGTCCAAAGTCGAATCAGCCTCAACCCCCATATTCTAAATATAACGAAATAATTTCAGTTGTGGCTTTTATTCAATAAATGATATCTTATAGAATACTCCTACATGGGTACTTCCTTCCCTAAGTGCTACAATCTTACATCTTGAAATTTAATGTTGAATCGTTATCTATTCTCTTTATCCTCGTAATCTTCACTTCCTTTAATTCATATCAATCAGCAAAAACATTTTAGTAATAACCCTCTATTTTGAGTGAACATTAGCATGAAAAAATGTTTTGAGTCTTTCTTTAAACGTGTGCATGCAATGATGCAGAAAGCGATCATTTTTTAGTCATTTAATTTTTTTTTAATCATTTTCCCCCAAGCAAGGGAACAAAGCCACTAAGATGCAAGGGGTTACTTAGTGTGCAATAATATGAGGAAAGAAAATATTGTGATAAGAGCTAGTTACAGTTCTTACTATCATGAATAGACTGATCCATTCCTGATATGTAGTCCTGGGTAATTGTCTAGAAAGAAAGACAAGATAATACCATTGCAGTGACTTGTCTCGCTTAGTATTGAATACTACTATCATGTCTGACTCTGTCGAATTAAGTGTTATGACCGCGACAACAAAAAGGAAAACTTTAAAGAGAGAAAACAATAAAAGACAAAAGCAAAGAAATAATCACAAAAAATTACATTAAATTTAAAATATAGGATTTGATATAAACATAAAAACAAATTTAAAAAGTAGCTTTCCTAGACATCACACTGAACCAAAGAAAAGGTTCACATCAATCATATAGCCCAATATTTTAGTGAGGCATGCACAGGATGTGCACCCTTCAGCTTACTATACCAATATGAGCTCAAATTTAATTTTAATTTATTTCAGCAGTTTCAACTTGTGACATGGTAGTTTAAATTGCTTTCCATAGGTCTGCTTTGCTGTTATATTGACTGACACCTTCATATAATTTCATCTTCACAACTGGCCATAGATTTTCAATTGGATTCAGATCATGATTTGATGGTTGCCATTCCATTATCTTCTCTCCTGTAAATCTTTTATGCTCCAAGAATTCACAGGTAAATACACACTTCACTTTGAAACTGCAAGACTCGGATTTGTACCATGCAAAGAAAGTCTTCTTCATAAAATTCCAATAGTTAGCACTGTTCAGTTTAACTGTTTCATTGACTTTGGATGGTCAACAATTCCAGTCCATATCAAAGTATTACTACCTCCTTCTTATAGCCACAGGCACATCTAAATTGGATAAAATCCATCCTTTACCCTGTCCATCACATGTCACTCGAGATTTGTCCGTGAAAATTGCTTTAGAAAAGTCAATTTTCGTTTAGTTTTTGGCTCAATTTTAAAGTTTTAAAATATTTGCTTTAATGAGAGGAGGTTGCCTAGATTTTTACAGGTCTCAATTAACAATATATT